TATTTGCTGGTCTTAACTCTGCAGAAACCTCACCGAACACATCACCGAATCGCGCGCAATCAAAATCCACTAAAGGTTTGCATCGTTATCATTACCATCATCAGATCATCTCGACCTGACTCTTCAATTTGTTTGTTCCTCAGAGCATCGTATCTGTTGATTTTTCTAGGAGCTGAAAACATTTCAGAATTATGTGAACCGCGTGCAACATCATCTCAGTTCGCACAGTTGATTCGACATTGTGCGAAACTGCCACCTCGAGGACATATTCTTCGTTTTGCAACAGCTCGAAGACCTTCAATCCTCTCATCCACAGATCTTGACGGTAATCATCACACATTTCCACTTTCCCATACTTATCATGCATCACCTTTCTGTTTGCTTACACACCTGCGGTGTTTTTCGGCAGTGTAGCATGTGAATTATGCGAGTTTTTTTTTTTAAATGAAAAAATATCAGTCCTTATGCGACTCATCTATGAGTATTCGAACACCGCTCGATATCCGTTTTTTTTTCAGTTGTGCTTAGCAAGGGCTGATATAAAAAAAGTGCATAATCCATTCATTTTCATTGTTATTTTTGTTTTGTGCATCTTATCAAGAGATTTTGCTTGTTGTTCATTTGCAGAATCGATCTTTAGTCTTTAATAAGGTGCAAAAAGCTGCATTGTTGATTTGATCGATTGCAGGTGATCAGGATGAGGTAGCGCATCGTCGCGTAGTTGTAATTGGTCCGGATGCAGAGGGTACCAATCATGGATTCGAGGCCGCCTCTGTGGATATCGCCGCCTGTCTCAAGGTTATCGCTGCACCGTCGTCGTTTGGTGCAGCCGCAATCGCTCGCGCGATTGTTCTTAGGTATTTTTTGGGGCACTTGTTGATAATCCGTCCTTTTGAGAGCTTCATCCTCCATTCTGAACTGTCCGTTCCACCCTATGAAAGCACTCGCAACTTTGTAACAGATAATTGCTCGTCACAATTACTTTAACAGAAAACTGTTGACCACTTCGCTATCCAATATTCTGGAGGTTCTGGCTTTTTTTTTCGTTTTTTGTGTCCTGAGGTGTGCTAATCTTGCGTTAATTCAACGTTTTCTTCAAGAAGAACTTCCAGATATGCACCATTGCTCAAAATGACTCTTCCCACTTCGGCGAGCGAAGAATTCAAAGAAGTGAGGATTCCCGAAGTTGACGTGAACGCGGCAAATTTCGACTCTGACAGAAATCCGGTACGAAACTGTCGTTCCACTTGAGTGTTGTGGCTTGATGAGCTTGAATAGGAATTTACAGTCGTAAAAGATTGTGCTGAATAAAATTCGGAAATTATCAATGTTGATGTAGTGATCACATAATCTAAGCAATGATCACAATGCCCCCGAGTTATCGTTTGATGAGATTGTCGTATTCCAGGCCGCAACAGGTACCCAAATTGTAGCCCTCGGATTGAAATGTATGTTCTCAGTACT